CTGTCTGAACAGATGAACGTGGAACCTTCAGGCATCTGGAAGTTGTACCCAAGGAAGAACCAGACTGGTGGAGGTCCACAGTTCTCCTCCTGATATTTTGGCTGGTTTTAGATTTTCCATGTTGTCACAAGGGAATCAGTGTGTTTGAGGTGTGCCTCCAATTAACTTTGTTTCTAATCCTGATTTCTGATCTGGAAAAACATTAAAGCTTCCAACTACAACAATAAAACAGGTGTGGTGTGATATTTTCATCCCCGTTATAGTAAATTTCTCAAAACCGAAATGTTTCTTCTGCGTATTGAGCTGCAGCGATCGACTAATGTGTCCTTGACTCTTCTCTCTGGAATCCACAACCTTTCCGGGAAAGTTATTAACCACATGGCGCCCCCTGCTGACCTGTTAGTGTCATGGCTTGGTAGAAGTGCATTGAAAAGGTGATTCATCCAAAATACAGTGTTTTGGATGAATCAGTCTCTTACCACAACGTATCATATATAATTTGCACCTCTAAAAAGGTAAAGGAATCACTGTTCTCCTGTCCAACGGTAACACAACTTTGAGAGTTATAAAAGAACAAATTCTCTTTAAAAAAAATCCCTTTCTCATTATTCTGGTATTTAGCAAACAGAAATAATTTTGGTAATCCTTAGTGACCTAAAATAAACAAATAATCCAAGAAATTCAACTTATCATACCGCACAGAAGACATGTTTGAGTTCTGGGTCTGTCCAGTCATGACTGAGCTGTTTCCACACAAGTGCAGGACTTTATACTGGTTGGGGATCAGAGGGTTAATATCCTTTCATTCTAACAAAATGCCCCATTTTTAGCAATTCAAGTTTAGATTAATGTCATTTATTGTTTATATCCCTCTGATTAGAGTAGGACAGAGTAGAATTAATGCTCTATGCAGCAATGACATTGGAAGAAGCTGTTCTTCTGCTAAACACACACACATGCGTTTATGGACAGCTGAAAGATTTGGATTTCGGACAAACCATCCAGCATACATTATACACACAAGGCACTTTGTTTCCACAACTTGACCCTGAAGAACAGCAGCTGCCATTGACTATGTAGATATCCTCCAACCTGATTGGGAAAAAAAACACCTTTATAGACAATTTTTTTGGCAAAGACAAAACAGAATGAGTGCTCAAGGAATGCTTTAAAGAGAATATATACAAGACACAGAGAAACATAAAAACATTTAAAAAGCATTTAAAATGTGGTTCTTGCCAGCATTTATATAATTAAACTTCCCAAACAAACTCTGCAGCAATTTTATCAGTTTTTATCACGTGTGGACTCTCATGTGTCTCTTAAGATTTCCTTGTCGTGTAAATCTTTCGCCACAAATATCACAGGAAAATGGTTTCTCTCCTGTGTGGACACTCATGTGTCTTTTAAGAGTATATTGATGTCGAAATCTTTTTCCACAAATGTCACAGCCAAATGGCTTTTCTCCCGTGTGGACTCTCATGTGACTCTTCAGAACCCCCTGTTCTGTAAATCTTTCGCCGCAAACATCACAACCAAACGGTCTCTCTCCGGTGTGGACTCTCATGTGTCTCTTCAGATGCGTATTCCGACTAAATGTTTTACCACAATCATCACAACTAAACGGTTTCTCCCCAGTGTGAACGCCACTGTGTCGCTTTAGACTTCCCTGTTCTGTAAATCTTTCGCCACAAACATCACATCCAAATGGTTTTTCTCCTGTGTGGACTCTCATGTGTCTTTTAAGATTATATTGAAGTCTAAATCGTTTTCCACAAGCATCACAACTAAACGGTTTCTCTCCTGTGTGGACTCTTATGTGTATCTTATAATGTGTCTTCTGGCTAAACCTTTTACCACAAAAACTACAATCAAACGGTTTTTCTCCTGTGTGGACAGTCATGTGTGTCTTGAAATGTGTCTTCCGGCTGAATTTCTTACCACAAATCCCACAACCAAATGGTTTCTGTCCTGTGTGGACTCCTCTGTGTCTCTTCAGACTTCCCTGCTCTGTAAATCTTTTACCACAAATACCACAAATAAATGGTTTCTCTCCAGTGTGGACTCTAGTGTGTGATTTGAGATTAGACTGATGTATAAATCTTTTCCCACACACATCACAACTAAATGGTTTTTCGCCCGTATGAATTCTCATGTGACTCTTCAGTACCCCCTGTTGTCGAAATCGTTTACCACAAAAACTACAATCAAATGGTTTCTCTCCTGTGTGAACTCTCAGGTGTCTCTTCAGATCTCCCTGACGCATGAATTTTTTACCACAAACACCACAGCTAAAGGTCTTCGCTCCTATGTGAACTCTCCTGTGTTTCTTTAGAGTTCCCTGTTGTGCAAGTTTTTCACTACAAACATCACTACCAGATTCAGGCGTTTTGCTCTCTGTCCACGCACTGTCACTGTCGTCGCTTTCAGGTCCAGATTCTGACAAAGGTTCCTGCCAGTCACCGTCCTCCTCATCGTCATCATTACTGACTTCAGTCGCAGAAGAGTCTGAAGCTCTTCCATCAGCATTCAGTTTTAAACGAGTATTTAAGTCTTGATTCTTGGCTGGTTCTGATCCTCCACAGGCCTCTCCGTCGGTTTCTGTTTTCATCTGTTTAGCTGAGTCTGTCTCGGCTGCCCCTCTGTCGTCTTCACTTTGGCTCTGATGAAGCTGTGAGGACTGAGGTTTGTCTTCATCGTCTTCACTCTTTACAGGAGCAGCAGTGAATGAGAACCTGCTGATATCAGTCTCTTCCTGCCCGTTCAGCTGCTCTCCCTCCTCACTGCTCCACAGTTCCTCCTGTTCCTCCTTTATGTGGAAGAGTTCTGGGTCCTGCTGGTCCAGACTGGAGCTCCATTCATGGGGAACCTCCTCTTTAATCACCAACAGCTGCTGGACGTCTGCAGGCAACACTGAAACACACATTATGGACAAGTTAGACTTTTATTTTTATATATGCTACAGCAGCACAGAACTGATGATTTTAGTTAAAACTATCCCTTAAGTGTCTTTTAAATGAGAAAAATTTCTTGATAAAACAAGAATGTTTCCTCGCTATGAAAAGGAATATATTTGAGCATGTATATGTTTCTGAAGGACCTCAGGAACAACTCGGCCTGAACAATTCATTGAAGTATCCGAACTACAACATGGACAAGTGCAACATGCAATTATATATTTTTTTAAAAAGAAAACAACATCCAAATTGCAGGGGCACACTTTTTGAAAAAGGTAAAATGTGTAATTATAAATAAAACATTGCAGTGCCACAGAGATGCTCACATCATCCAAGCAAAAGGGAAACCGCTCCATTGGTACCGACCACAGAAAAAAATGTCATCAGCATTTTTGTATTTTTTAAGTGGAAAAGCAAAGCAAAAATTACCATTATCACTGAAATCATGACTCACATCACAGTATCTGAGAAACCAATCTTTTCTGCACATTGTTGAGCCCCATAAACAGGATAAAAAACTATAAGCAGGACAAAATCATTCGTCATGACTTCCAAAACAGAGTGTTTTTACAATTTGGCACAGATATGGTTGGGTTTGTTGGGTTTTGCAGGGTAACAAAATAGAGTAAAAAATATCAAAGATTTTTTATGTTTTAATGCTTTAACACTAAAGTATCATCTATGTTTTTTAATGGTCTTTTGAGCTACAAGATAGGGCTGAACAGAATTGCAATTCCTCTTACTACCTCATACCATCCTCCTTGTGTGACAGTCAGGCGTCTGAAGGTATCTCACGTGTAAATACTTCATCACGTGACTTAAATCTGCTGCAGAGTGAATATTAAACTCACGCTGCAAATCAAACGTCTGTCAGAAAAATCACAATTTCCCCCGAATTATTCAGCCCAGCCCAGCATAACAGTATGCAGATTTTTTTTTTAAGTCAACTTATGTATTTACGTGAACCACATCAGGTTGGAACTTTATGCGGCTTCACACCTTATTTTCCTACATTCACAGAGAAATATTGTCTTTTTTACTTCCCTACATTTATGTGTTGTGTAGTATGTAAAGTAGTTTCTATTGCAACTCATAATTCTACATACAAACTGTACATTTTGGGAATATTTACCCGATGACGAACTCCTTTCTGTATGAAAACAGAGAAATGTTTGATACAGTTTTGCTGCAGGTTTAACAAACTAAACTCACTGATGCTGTTTGTTGTTGTTGGGCTTCAGTTCTCTGACTGATCATGCTTCAAAGATTCACTAAATATTGCTCCCTAGTCTTTCATAGCTGCTCATTAAACCCTAAAATCCAAACTGTTTATTCAGGCTGAACTACGAGGTGTGTCGCGCTGTAAACCGTCCGGGTGCTGCACTGAACCTCCACCGTTAAGTTCCGCCTTTTTCTACACAGTTAACAACCATCTAACGTTATTATTGTTGCTGTTATTTATCCATTAGTGGTCAGATTGAGGTGAACAGGAGCTCAGCAGCTCGGTTCTTCAGTGAATCGTCTCCTCCAGCCTCCCTCCCAGCAGCTAGCAGTTAGCAGCTTCCTCCACATTAGCTGTGATTCTTCTTACCAGCGGTTTGCTTCAGAACAACGTCCTGCGGCTCATGGAGGCGTTTCATCCGCACTTTGTCCTCCAGACACACACTGTCAGTCCGCTGCTGCTGGACAGAATCCACCTGGTTCATGGTGTCAGACCTGCTTCTCTTCTTCAAAACTAACCGGAGGATCGTAGAGGAGCCGCGCGTGCGCAGAACGCATCGCATTTCTGACAGGCATCCGCACGGACACCTTTATTCTGCTTTTTTTTATTTTTGCTTTATTGAGCAAAACTTGAACAGAGATATTCAGATAAACCACAAAACAGCATAATAATATAAATAAATGAATAAATGAACGCAGTCAAACAGTTGTTCAAGTTTCTCTCCAGAGTTGTTTCTGATCTTCTGTTCTTTTAATTCAGCTGCTTCAACTCATCAATCACTTTATTAGGAAATGTGTAATCTCATCCAACAGTTCTGCCTTCAGTTCTACTTTACATATGATTACAACTGTTCATAAATAACATTATTTGTAATTACTTTCTGTCAGCTGATAGTCTGCTTTCTTTTGAAAGGAAACTGAGGAGTAAGGTGTGTGTGTGTGTGTGTGTGGGTGTGTGTGTGTGTGTGTGTGTGTGTGTGTGTGTGTGTGTGTGTGGTAACATCCATATTTATACACTGCAGGTCTTGTGTGTGACTGAACATAAGCAGACAGAACATGTCTGTAACATTTGGCAGCAGTTCATGATTTCCGATGACTTGGCTGCTCTTCATTATTTCTGCCAGCAGGTGTCGCTGTGGGACCACTGTGATGACAATTCTACATTTGACTGGTTTTCCTGTATGTTACTGCTGACACTAGGTGTGTTATTCTTTTGTGCACCGTGTATATTATTACTGTCTGTAATCCACTCTTATGTGAAGGAGGCAGTTTGACCCTGAGTGAAGCAGAAGATCAGCGTCAGAGAGGAAGAAAAGTTCTTAGGAACAGCTCTGTGGAGCAACAGGCTGCCTGAAGAGCTCCATGGTCATCACAGATTCATTTGAAGGGTTTGTTTCTTCAGTGTTTTGAGTTAAACTTTTGGTTTCGCTGATGTTCTAGGCTTTAAGGACTGAATTTTACAAGGTTTGCTCACTGATGAAGACTGAAGATGTTCTGTGTGTCTGATGGATGTAGAAGAAGAAGCAGATTGGTTAAAATTAAAGTTGGAGGTGGAGGCAGGATCAAACTGTCACTCTGACATGATGCAGAACAGAGAAGCTGCCTCGTTTTCAGAGGAAATCATGTCCAGACATGACAAAAGGCTTTGCGACAAATGGACCCACTGAGTCAAACAACTTTGTGCAGCAAACTGATGAGAGTTAACACCAACTATCAATACTCCTGAGACTGTGATATGACAGAAACTGTGAAAGTGTGAAATCATTGTCCTTCTCTGTCCATGAAAACTCTTCATCTCTTTGTGAACATAAACCTTCCCTCACAGAGGAACTCAGGAGATAAGAAGCAGCTATAAACCATCTTTGCGGACCAACAGGAGGTCTGGAATTCAACCTTCCTCCCCGTCAGTGCAGATATCAACCAGGTCTAAACACCTGCTTTCTTTCTTGTGTTTTTATTCGGGTTAGCACTTGAATCTTGGATGATACATTTCTACTGTGGACCTACAGAGACATCCAGCCACACCAAAGAAACTAACAGATTATTATGATGCCTGTCTTCACTAGGTATCGCATGAAAACCCAGGTTGGAACAGCATGCTGCCTTTAAAAAAAAAAAATTAAATCCTCAAATGACACCAATCATCAGCAAGAATCTGGAAAAACAGAAAGAATATTCAGAAGTTGTGACTGTCTGACAGTCATTAAACAAATGTGCCGTCCATATGCACTGTTCATCTGGGAAATTATTAAAATCTGGGCTTAAAAATCATATTTCATCAAAATCACTTTGCTCGAATGGCCTCATTTAACAAGTCAACAAAAAAACACCTATTTATACCAACTGAGAAGCCATGAATGCCTCAGCTGTGACAAAAATTCACAGTTACACTTGTACTGCAGGCAGTGTTTCCACGGAGCAGAGTGGAGACAAGAAGAAAATTAAACTTACTTGATCGATAAAAAAAATGCAGCATGGTATAAAACACAGTATACAGAGGAGGAAGTACATTCATTTGCTTTGTTACCTTTTTGCATTTTAGTGCTTCTATTGGATTCGTACTGCATATCCAAGTTATTCACTTAATCCACATTGACTGTGTAATTTGACTGCTATGCATTTAATCCTGTTGTACTGGAAATGGTAGGTTAGTGCACATTCCCATTTCGACCGAGTCCCTGTCCCGTGGCATCCACACCCTCAGCATCACCTGCATGTGCAAAATGACATTTCAAGCTTTGATCTAGAAAGAATCATGAAACCACTGAGATAAAATCAGTTTCTGATTCAATGAGACAAAATCAAAGTGAGAAAGTGCTTTACAGTCTGTAGAGAAACAACCTCATACTTCATACGACTGGATCACTTCGTCGGAACATTTTCCGATTCCAGAGAACATAAAAGTTTATTTTAAACACACGTATTGCCTGATTTGCTGTGTGTGTGTTTTCGGTTTCCTTCCTCTGCTGTGAATACAATAAAATGCATCTATTCAAGCAAACAGATGGACCATCTCTGCTTCTGAGATTTCACAAGTCTTCAACGCCCACCTCTAAATCCAAACACAGAAATAATGTGAGGAAAAGGAGAGCAGAATTACACAGAGCACAACTTTGAGCTAAATGCAACAGTTAACATGCTAACATGTTCACAAGGACAGTGCAATCAATGCCTTATTACCCTTGTTTAACACCTGTATTTGACTTAAAATACAGATACTAAATGAAATGCATTGATGAGAAGACCAAGAATATAGGTTGGGGTAGGGGAATTAATGTTATGTATTGTAGCATGACTACTGGCATGTTTAGTGGGAAAAAGTGTACAGACTTGTGTAAACAATCTCTCTCTGGTACAATATGTATTCTAAAGAGACACACTAAAATGAAGCCAATAAAATAATACAGTACTGCACACTTCCTTGCAATATATTTTTCACAACTTGCTCTGCAACTGTGCAGTTTCTATTCTGCGTGGGCTTTCATGTGTCTCGTCAGACTTCCCTGTTGTGAAAATTTTGCACCACAAACCTTACAGCCAAACGGTTTCTCTCCCGTGTGGATACTCATGTGTGTTTGAAGCTGTGACTTTTGCTTAAATCTTTTCCCACAGTCATTACAGCCAAATGGTTTCTCTCCTGTGTGGACTCTCATGTGCGTTTGAAGGACATGCAACAGTCGAAAACTTTTGCCACACGTGTTGCAACTGAAAGGTTTCTCTCCTGTGTGAACTCCCATGTGTCTCTTTAACGTTAGCTGTTGGCTGAATCTTTTACCGCAAAAATCACAGCCAAATGGTTTCTCTCCTGAATGCACAATCATGTGTGCCTTCAGAGTTCCCTGTTGTCTGAATGTTTTCCCACAGTCATCACAGCTAAATGGTTTCTCTCCCGTGTGAACTGTCATGTGTGACTTCAGTGATCCCTGTTGGCTAAATCTTTGACCACATACATCACAGCCAAATGGTTTCTCTCCTGTGTGCGCTACACTGTGTCTCTTCAGGTGTCCCTGTTGGCTAAATCTTTTACCACAAACATCACAGCTAAATGGTTTTTCTCCTGTATGGTCCGTCATATGCAACTTCAGACTACAATGATGTCTAAATCTTTTACCACATTCATCACAACCAAACAGCTTCTCCCCAATGTGAACTGTCATGTGTGATTTAAGGTTGCAATGATGTCTAAATCTTTTACCACAAATATTGCAGCCAAAGGGCTTATCTTCTGTGTGAGCTCTAACGTGTCTCTTCAGAGTTCCATGTTGGCTAAATCTTTTACCACAAACATCACAGCTAAATGGTTTCTCTCCTGTGTGAACTGTCATGTGTGATTTCAGTGTTTTCTGTTGACTAAACGTTTTACTACAAACATCACAGCCAAACGGTTTCTCTCCCGTGTGAATTGTCATGTGTGATTTTAGAGTTCCCTGTTGACTAAATCTTTTGCCACAAACATCACAGCTATATGGTTTCTCTCCTGTGTGAACTATCATGTGTCTTGTCAGAGTTCCCTGTTGACTAAATCTTTGACTGCAAACATTACAGCTAAATAATTTCTCTTGTTCCTGAACTTCGGAATCATTTTTTACAATCACATTACTAGACGTCCTTGTTTCTGAATGACATGTCATGTGTCTCTGAAGAGACTGCTTGTAGAGAAATTGTTTATCACACTTAGAGCAGCTAAAGGTCTTTTTCTCAGTCTTAGATCCTACATCGCTTTTTACACGTAATTTAGTTCCCTTGGCCTCCTTCCATTCATTGTCACTGTCTTCATTTCCAGGTTCAGAGTCTGACAAAGGTTCTTGCCATTCATCCTCATCCTCATCACAAGCATCAATACTGACTTCGATCTCAGACCAGTCTGAAGACTTTCCATCAGTATTCACTTGTAAATGAGTACTCAGATCTTGGTTCCTGGATTGTTCTGGTCCTTCACAGTCCTCTGCTTCTATTTTTATCTGTTTAGCTGAGCAGCTAGTTGGAGGTTCTGTCTTTCTAATGTCTTCACTTTGGTTCTGATGAAGCTTTAAGTCCTGAGGCTTCTCTTCATCATCTTCAGTCTTCACAGTAACAGCAGTGAATGGGAACCTGGTGATGTCAGTGTCTTCCTGACTGGTCCACACTTCATCCTGTTCCTCCTTTATACTGAGGGGTTCTGGGCTCTGCTGGTGCAGACTGGGGTTCCACTCATAGGGAACTTCTTCTTTAATCACCAACACCTTCTGGACATCTGCAGGGAACACTGAAACACACATGTACATTATCGACAACTGTGACTTTAAAATCCCACAGACAGATTTATGTTCGTAAATGTATGTTTGTAAGATAAGATAATTCTTCACTGATCCCCAAAGGGGAAATTCAGGATACGTGTACCCTCCTAGACTTTAGAAAAGATTATGATTGGAGTAGAATAAGTACTTTGTCGAGGTTCAGTAATCTTTAATTTACGGTACAATAAGAATCACTGTGGAGGTTCAAGAAAAACATGT